TTAAAATGCCTTAAAGCATTTTACACATGGTGTAGGTCTCTCCTACAGTAATTCATAAATATATTTAAAACGCCTTAAAGCATTTTACACTGTGGTGTAGGTCTCTCAGTGGCTTTCCTATCAGGAGAGCTGAGGTGACCTGCTGGTCCTCTGCAGTCCTCCTGCTTTTGTTTTAAGTGCTTCTTCCCACAGCAGAGGCCCCAGGTGCCACCTGGTCCCAAGCGGTGAGTCCATCTGCCTGCCCGCAGCACTTCTGTCCGTGTCCCCGTGCTCCTGCGTGTCAAATCCCGAGTGGGTACCTGCACGCCCAGGCCCTGGCACGGTGCAGCCCCTGAGGAGATGGCTTGGGTGGCTCCAGCCGTTGGTTCCTGCAAGGCATAAGCTGCCGTTGCTCAATAGGACTCCAATAACCACCACGGCTGGAAGTGTGGCTCCTCGGCTGGGCTGCGTGTGAGGCATTTCCACATTGTTTGTCCCAGAGAACCCTTCCCAGCAGAAACCCCAAAGAGGCCAAGAGGAGACACACACTGTGCTCTCACTGCCCTTGAGACACATCAGCAGGAAAGGGATCGCATGCTCAAAGAGGCTTCCATAAATAATTCCAAAATAAGGCTTCCAGCCTTATTTTGACCCTACTTTTGACAGGGCTGGCTGCCAGGAATCAGCAAGGAACACACCAAAGCAAAGTCATGTGGTTTTATCTCCAGCACGGAGATGAGTTTGGCTTTCCTGTCTTAACCTGGTTGTGCTCTGAGCTTGGGCACTTAATTCTCTCCTCCTCCCTCCTGCGAATAACTCTTCTACCACCAGGAACTGTTTTTTATCCCACAGATGGGGCTTATATTTTCTCTTCACAATGCCATTGTTATTATTGTTAGTATGCCCATGGCTCTTCTAAGGTTCTGCCTGGGTTGGTCTCATGGCAAAAATGCACTGGTGGGTAGCTCATCATTGCATACAGTTACAGGTTTATGCTGCTCGTATCCATTATAGTAATTAATTGGTTGTCAGTGCTTGAAGCAGAAAGCTAAAATCCTTGCCCAAGGTATATTCCTTGCCTGAATGGAACATAAAGAGACCTGGTGGCACAGGATGACACCTGAACTCTTCCACAGCAGGACTGTAATATGAGGCTGGGTGCTGTTTCCATAAGGAGGAATCTCACCTACTTCCTCTCTCCTGTACCAAACAGTAAATTGTTCTAAGGTTTTAAGAAAACCCTTGTGCCCTTAAATATGGGGCATCTAGAGGTGCAATGGATTAAATATCTATTACATATTTCCAGCAGGGAAATCCAGGCTAGACAGAGGTGACTGGCTAGGGAAATCCAGGCTAGACAGAGGTGACTGGTTGGTTAATGGCTGAACTAGATGATCTTTAAGGTCCCTTCCAACCTAGATGATTCTATGATTCTCTGACTGCTCCAGTCCTGGGCTCCCACGGAAAGAAAATTCATGGTAAGTGCTGTTGTGGGAGGGTGAAAGCCAGAAGACGCAGATTTTGTTCTTCCAAGAACTCTGAACAGTGAAAGGAAGAAACCCATGGAGATGCCAAGTAAGCGTGTGTGTCTGTCCTCCCAGCCCAAAACAGAACCCCATCTAATTCAATGTTTATGAATATCATGGTTTCCCCCAGAACATCTTCAACTGCCTGAAGCTTTCCTACCACCCAAGGGAGGACCTTCAAGCAGAGCAGTGCGCCTTGCTGACCACTCCCATGCCCAGACCGTAGGTGTCCCTGGGCCACCTGGCACAGCTCTGTCCTGGGTCACGTCACCAGCATCAGCCCCTGCTCAGCACCAGACCAACTAAAAATGCCGATAGGGATAACGTAGCAGGACTTTGTTTGCTGTAGGTCAGGCAGGTTTGGTTGTTTACGGAAGTGGAGCTTCTGACCTGAAAAGAATGTTATTCTTTCCTTTTACCCACCCCTTTTGCCACCACAAAACTAGTCTGTCTGTACACCAGGGCTGCTTAAGTTCTTTCTTAAGGTTGTTTTTCTCTTAAGAGGTCTTATGTGAATGGTGTGTTAGCAGCTTGCTTTATACACCAGGGCTGCTTAAGTTCTTTCTTAAGGTTTTTTTTTTCTCTTAAGAGGTCTTATATGAATGGTGTGTTAGCAGCCTGCTTTGCCTGGAAATTGTTAGCAGCTGTGGGTGGTAAATGGTCTCTTTCTCTTCCAGAAGGGGACACTCAGCAGTTGGTGTGGTTTTAGACGAGTAGCTCTGCCCAGGAGCAGAGATGCAACTGCCAGGGCTCTTCCAGGGAGAAGTCCAGGCCTGGAAAAACAGCAGGTGGCACAGGGCTGCTGGTGGCTTTGGCTTTTCTTTTCCTGTGCTTCAGCCTGGATACCCAAGAGGGTCCAGCTGAGATCCTCACCTTCAGGTACTTTAAATCCTTATGCCTCAGAGGTGTAACAACACAGGAGCGTGGCTGGCCTGCCATTAAAGCTGGGCATGTGCTTTTGTCCACTCAGGGCTGGTGGTCCATCCCCCTGCAGTGGGCTCAGAGAGAGCAAGTGTCAGCTCTCTCAGTCTAAATTGGCTTTTTTTGATCAGTTGGATGAGGCAGGGCAGATCCAAACGGGAAAGAGAGAGCCTCCTGGTGCACTTTGAAATAACGTACCAATGAGACAGGCCACCTGAGCCACAGACTCAATCCTGCTGTGCCAGGCTCAGCCCAGGCTCCTGTGGCTGATGGAGTGATCAGATGAACCTTCCAGGATGAGATGGGGCCTCTTTAGGCCTTTTTTGCTTAAATACCCATCCACTGGTGCAGCCATTTGGATTTTAGGCTCTACTTGTTAAGGTACAGTGCAATCGTGATGAAGAATATCTTTCTTTTTTTTTTCCTACTTATCTCTGTTTCTGAGGCAAAGAACTGTTCCCTTAGCACCAAGCTGGGGAGAAATGGCATTTTTTTTCACCAGTTTTCAGTTTTCCAGTGGGAGGGAGGACCGTGTGTAACACCAGGTTTATGCAAATACTTTCCGGGCACGTGCAACCCCCCGAGGTTGAAGGTGTGTTCAGACAGATCCGGATCAGTCCCTCTCATCCAACAGGTGATTTAATCAGTACCATTTTTTTATCTAGTCCAGCCCTCTCACCGGCTGTGCCCCTGCTGCAGCCGCTGCCTGGCACCAAAAAAATACAGCAAATGTAAGTAACGGGCAACCGGCGCGTTTTCCTTTATTGTTAATAATTTTTAACTGCTTTTACAAAAGAATAAGTACTTCCTCTTTTTAAAACTGAAGTATTTTAACCTCATCATTAGATCAGTAAGGTTCGGTGAAAGGCAGCCACTGCCTGGCACCAAAAAAATACAGCAAATGTAAGTAACGGGCAACCGGCGCGTTTTCCTTTATTGTTAATAATTTTTAACTGCTTTTACAAAAGAATAAGTACTTCCTCTTTTTAAAACTGAAGTATTTTAACCTCATCATTAGATCAGTAACAGTAAGGTTCGGTGAAAGGCAGGCTTCTGTACACAGTTAAATCACATCACCAAGAGGCAAAATAAAGCAGTGTCTTGGCAGGGGCTCAGAGCAGCTGCTCCCTCCCTGCCTCCGGCCGTTCCACTGGGAGGCTTTTCCCACAGGAGGTAGGTTTTGTTCCATCTTTTTTTTCCAGGTTCCCAACGCCTTTGTAAACCAGAGCATCTTCTCTCTGATTTTTTTTCCACCCAATCTTGAAACCAGTAGATGTCCTGCAAAGTGCTCAGCAGGCATTAGCAGCAGGAGTGCCAACACAAAGCAGGGAAATGTAGTCTTGGGTTTAAGCGCATAAAGACTTTCATGGCTCTGGTGCAATATCTTTGCAATATTTTATTTTTAATTAAACCAGTAGATGTCCTGCAAAGTGCTCAGCAGGCATTAGCAGCAGGAGTGCTAACACAAAGCAGGGAAATGTAGTCTTGTGTTTAAGTGCATAAAGACTTCCATGGCTCTGGTGCTCCTTTGCAATATTTTATTTTTAATTCATATATTGTTAAATGGTTAAAAGACAGAAGCAAGCAATTTCTAGAAAGAGTAGTAAGAACAACCTTCCTTTGTGTTTGGCAGCAGGGAGCGAGCTCTGGATTCACGGGGGGGTTCCAGCAAAAGGTCCATCTGAGAGCAGGGATCTGGGGTGCATTTCGGATGAGGGGGTTTTTTTCAGCTTCAGGGGTGAAGCGAACGTGACGCCAGAACAGCAGGGCCTGGTTTTCACACCTGGCCTGTGCCTTTTCACACGCAGCTGCTTTGGTCTCCACGTGCTCGGCTCAAACAGCCATTTGTCAAGGCTGGGGAGAGGAACAAACACACAACCTTTGGGGAACAAACACACAACACTTCGGTGGCCCCTTCCCTTGGGCTCCACGTACCCCCTGAAGGAAGCCAGGACCTGAGGGCAGGTCACTCATCAGCTTCTGCTCTACCTTTCTGTGGGTCTGGGGCCGTGCAAATCACCACGCTCCGACCCAGAGGCCGGGTGTGCTGTGGGGACAGCATGTGCCAGCCACCACTGCCCTACAAGCTGCAGGGATAAGACTCTGCCAGGTGTGGGTCCCTCCACCCTGCAGAGTCCTCCAGCAACCTCTACCCTCACAAAGGCCCTGCGGCGACATACTCCCTCAATGTCATGCTACAAAAACAAAACAAACAGAGAGAAAACAACAACAAACTAAAACAGAACACCAAAGCCACACTCTGATGGGCAGTGATACAGCCTTCACGAAACTAAAACAGAACACCAAAGCCACACTCTCTGATGGGCAGTGATACAGCCTGCACATAATGTCAGGCTCTGAAATGCAAAGATCTATTTTAAAAAAACTACGATGGTTTAAGGCTACAGGGGTTCCACACGGGGCCCCAGGAGATCAAGGGGCACAGGCCTGTCTGTGCCTCTTGGTGGCAAGATGAAGCCCCACGTTAAGAGTTGGCGCAGCCTCAGGTGACAGTTCTCCCACTCTGTAACAGGGTTCAACAGTCCCTCAGAAAACTTTCCGCCGTGCCTCTTGGTGGCAAGATGAAGCCCCACGTTAAGAGTTGGCGCAGCCTCAGGTGACAGTTCTCCCACTCTGTAACAGGGTTCAACAGTCCCTCAGAAAACTTACTCTCCGCCCATTGTGGGTCACCCAAAAACTCTGTGGGGTGTTTTTTTACCTCTTTCACATTTCAGCAGGCATCCTGTTTGCATTCAGCACCGTCAATGCACCAAACACCCCCAGTTACTGGTCTGTGGAGCATTTAGCAAGACCCTGGTTTCTCGGCGTGGCTGAGCCCCCTCACTGCTGGGCACGTGCTGCCACGGGCCACGAGGGTTACGGATCACTCGCTGTAGCCCATGAATAAACCAGGGATATCTTTTTGCAGCAGCAAAGTGTAAAAATTATGCAGACGAGGTAAAACAGTGTTCCTGTTTACAATATGGGTGATGTGTAAACAAAAGGCAAATACACAACATCACTGGTGGTCTCACTCCTGATGAATCTGCTCTATCATCTCAGCAGGGGCTGCCCTGGATCTTTGTTCCTGAAGGCCAAGTCTTGCAGCTGCAGTGAGATATTGGTTTAGTGTCAAAAGAAATCCCAGTACATTGTGGAGAACACCAGTGTCCCCCACTGAACTCAGTCCTTCAACCCCTGGAGCAGAAAAGCTACTGTCAGCCCCCAGCCCTCTCCTCCAGCTCAGCCCTTTGCTCCCACTGTGCAGCGCTGGAAGACACGAGCAGTAATTGGGCACCCCAAGTGCACCAACAGTGGGGGCACAGAGAGGGGCAGGGGGTCAAACGCCGACCGGCGGTGGGGCTGTGGGTACCTGCACGCTGTGCCAGGACGTGCTGCTCTCCGACGTGAGGGTAATGCATCCCCCTGGCAGGACTCTCCAGAGACAGCTGCTCTCACACCTTCCAGCGCTACACGGCTCTTTGCTTTCTTCTTGCAGCCGGTACCTGATTAGTTCCTGTCGTCTCACGGGCTGAGTTCAGTTGTACAGTCGCATCCCAGCTGTTAAGACTCCTCAGGTTTTGCAGGGTATTCCTTAGCTCAGCAAATAAGGGCTGTAGAAGGAATATTGCTGAGGCTCATTCCTTGCCGTTGCTGGCAGCAGAAGCATTGAGCAGATTCAGGGTTGAGGCAATGAAGCCTGTTGTCCATGCTCTCCTGAGCTTGAATACCGCTGGCGGATATCGAAAAGGCAGGCCCCTGTTTCTCTGTCTTACTTTGGATTTCAAGTAAAACTAATTCTAAATATCAAGTAGATTTCCAACACAGAAGAAATGTGTAAGATTGTCCTTGGGGGTCCCGATGAAAATGCCGTGTTTGGATTAATACACCAGAAGCAGGTCCAAATCCTTCAGCACTATGAAGCCTGGAAACTTCTCTGACCTCTGTAGAGCTCTCTCTTGCATTGCTCACCATCCTTCCCTACCATCTTTTTAATATAGTGGAGGCCTATAAAGATGTTCCAAGCTCCTAGTTCAAGGCAATGTCTTTCACTCCACTCCAAAGCAAATGAAAACCAGGCATCATTTTTCCAAGTATTTTCCTCTAGCAAGGAAGTGTGATAAAGAATTTCCATTTTTTTTTTCATTTGTGCTCTATTTTAGTGTAGCACCTATTAAAAATACCTTGCCCATGATGTTAGGGATAGGAGACTGTAAAGGAAAAAAAAAATCTTCTGGCTTTGAAAATACAATAGCTATGCACTCTGTTAGTGAGTTATCTTATCCTACCTCCAGTTTGCATACGTAAGGAGCACCAGCTTATGTCTTGGTCATGATTATTAAATTAAATGTACTTGAGTCTACAGTAATTAATCCCCTCAAGTTTCTGGTATCAAAAGCTTGTTTCAGGCTCTTGACATTTAAATGCATAAAGGCACTACCCGTATAAATCAATAGACTCACTCACGCCTCATGCAGAATGTTTCCTCCAGCCAACGCTCGGCAGAACCGCGCTCGCTCTCTGCAGCCGACGGCCTCTCTCTCTGAAATGTAACTGCCCCCCTCGTGGCAGCCTGCAGCAGCGATCCTGTGCCAAACTCTTGCAGGGGAATGGAAAAAAGGAATAATTTCTAAATCAGCAAGGGGAATCGGCCAGACAGAATGCAATTGTCCACGTTGCAGTTTGGCCCCAGTTCACAGATACATATATATATATATATATTTATGACTCTTTGGCCTGACTTCAAAGCTGAGCCCACCAATTCAGTGCAAATTCTAGTTGCTCAGCCTGTCTGAAAATCTGGACATTACTGAATGCAAATGGCCAGGACTTCGTTTGTAACGAAGCATTGAAAAGACACCGACAATGGGCTCAGGATTGAGGGGACAGGCACGTACAAAGAACTACCACTAACACCACCACCATATCCTATAGCACCAGGGAGATCCTGGAAGGTCTCTGCTAACCAGGACCCTATTTCGTAACGAGTAAGACCACAGTGTGAGGCTCTCGTGGTCTCAAAACTTGGGGGAAGGAGATTAAATAAACCCTTTTGAAAGCTAGGAACTTAACAAGGCAAGATGAGAAATGTACAGGTTTCCTCAGTTTCCTGCAAATAATAAACAGTGATGTGTTGTAATGTGACTGTGACGTGCTGTAATGTGACTGTGACGTGCTGTAACCTGACTGTGATGTGTTGTAATGTGACTGTCATAGCCTTCAGTGGGGAACAGTGCAAAAACCCAGCCTAGGGGTACCCAGCTCCAGAGTAGCTGGGGAAATTCCCAGTCCTGCCACTTCTCCTCCGTTCTACAGCGCTCCGGATCGCGTGGAGGAGCAGGTCTTTGTTATTGAGGATGTTGTATTTGCTCAGGTTCACAAGTTTGTCAAAATTTTCAGAGGAGTAGATTAGCCTGATGAGGTAATAGGGTGAGCAGTTGTTGTCCAGATTGACTTTGCCTTCTTCCATCTCTGAGTGACTGCGCTTTACCCCTGCGGAGAAAGACAAAAGTAAGACAAAAGCTCACCACAGGGAGCACACAATCTGGAGCACACAACACATGGTCTTGGAGGCGACTGACCTACTTGGCAGAACCCACTGTTAAAAACAGCCTCCAGAAGAGAGGCACCCCCCCGCCCCACAGCTTGCAAGAGCCATTCCTGGTCAGCTTTCCCAGTCACTCTCCTTCCTGCTCCTGCTAAAGCTCAGACCTGGAAATCCCTCAGCAGGGCTGGCAGGAGTGGTTACCTTCCCCTTCCTCCTGCCCCTGCAGTCACTCCTGGGCAGCACACCTCTGGGTCCACATCCTTTCCCAAACCCCAACAACTCTGACTCTCAGACAAGCCACACACCTCTAACACCTCTCAAAATCCATGACCAAACCTCAAAACGTGGTGACGAGAGCGTATCTGCTGCAGAGCATGGAGGTGCAGGGGGAACAGAGCACCCCACATCAGCCTCATCCTTCAACTCCACCTCTGCTTACCAACAAAGGCCAACACCCATCCCGTCCTCCCTAGAAGATTGATCTTTTTGCTTAAAAGGACACCCTAATTACCTCCACCAGCGACTTCAGCAGCCTCATACTTAGGCTTCTGCAAAATGTTTAGAGTTACATTTTTTCTCTGTTTTTTACCTACTTCTGTGCAGTGTTAACCAAATATGCCCAAACCACAAGTGTATTGTGAGAAGACTGTCAGTAGGGCTACAGACTGGTGAGATCTTCCTTATAATGTCTACTACTGAATATGACATGAATTTTGCTTGAGACACAGGAGGTTTTAGTCTAACCTAGTGGTTTCTGGGCAGTGATCTCAGGGTGCTGGATGCAGGCTGTCACTACAAGTAGCTGTATTAAAAATGTCCAAGTTTTGCTTCACTGAGCCTCCTGATATTGAGAGAGCCATGTCATCTGTGCTACCCACATCCAGCTGCAGGTGCCACAAAACCAGAGTCTGTAGTTGCATTGTAAACGGGCACTTCACTGGGCAGTGATCTCAGGGTGCTGGATGCAGGCTGTCACTACAAGTAGCTGTATTAAAAATGTCCAAGTTTTGCTTCACTGAGCCTCCTGATATTGAGAGAGCTGTGTCATCTGTGCTACCCACATCCAGCTGCAGGTGCCACAAAACCAGTCTAGAGTTGCATTGTAAATGGGCACTTCATGAGCTGACTCTCTTTTCTAGAACTTAAATAGTTAAGAGCAAGAAAAATAAGTACCTACATTCCACAAGGTGTCTCTCAGCCATCTAGAAATGAAAAGCTCCACTGTTAAACTTGCAATCCTCACAAGCAGGTTGCCAGGGACCCTCCTCCCCCAACCACCCACGTGGGTGGCTGGCTGTCAGCTTGAGTGATGAATCACCCACACGCAGGTGAGCGTCACAGCTCACGAGCTGGGGCCTGGAGCGCTAAGAAGCTGCAGCAGCTGCTTTGCTCTGCATAATCCACATCCAGCTGCAGGTGCCACAAAACCAGTCTAGAGTTGCATTGTAAATGGGCACTTCATGAGCTGACTCTCTTTTCTAGAACTTAAATAGTTAAGAGCAAGAAAAATAAGTACCTACATTCCACAAGGTGTCTCTCAGCCATCTAGAAATGAAAAGCTCCACTGTTAAACTTGCAATCCTCACAAGCAGGTTGCCAGGGACCCTCCTCCCCCAACCACCCACGTGGGTGGCTGGCTGTCAGCTTGAGTGATGAATCACCCACACGCAGGTGAGCGTCACAGCTCACGAGCTGGGGCCTGGAGCGCTAAGAAGCTGCAGCAGCTGCTTTGCTCTGCATAATCTTATCTACCTTTCATTCAGAGAGACTCTGAAACACTCACCTCATGTCACCTGCTAGTCACAGCTCAGCGGCTGCGCCTCACTGCGCGCTGCCGTTTGCACCATCTCCAGCCTCCACCTAACGAGGCCGTTAGTGTCTCCCTCTGTGAGTATCTCCTCTCTTCATCCATAAGAGTCTATCTTATCTACCTTTCATTCAGAGAGACTCTAAAACACTCACCTCGTGTCACCTGAGCCACAGCTCAACAGCTGTGTCTCACTGCGCGCTGCCATTTGCACCGTCTCCAGCCTCCACCTAACGAGGCTGTTAGTGTCTCCCTCTGTGAGTATCTCCTCTCTTCATCCATAAGAGTCTCTAAACATGATTTTGTTGGTTTATCTCTTCCTGCACATGTTCTCTGAGCGTTGGTGAACACCACAGCAGAAAAAGAGCTTTACTTCACCTGTTCATAACCTTCCCCAAATGTTCCCTCAGAGACATCCATTTTGCTGGGGTCCTAGCACCACAGTATAATTTTGGATAAAGCTGGAAGGAGAGTGAATGCCCTGCCTGCTGTGTTGGGCAGTAGCGAGGGAGAGCAGAATTTCCCCATGGCCTGATGACTCAAAAGGTGGTGTGAGAGATACTCCAGGGTTCATTGCTGTAAGAGCTCCAGGTTAAGGAAATCAGGCAGAAGAGGTGCCAAAAAGGTATCACCTGCCTAATTTTTACACAGTATCCCACAAGCTGTTGGAAAAACCTAGTCTATACTGAGGCTTTCTAGTTCTAACATGGCCTTTGCTGCTTCGTGCCTGCATTCAAAGACAACACCTGAGGACAGACCCCACTGCCCAGGGCCTGCTGGGCCTCCACGCAGAGCCAACCCAACTGCGTATGTCCCCATAGCACAGCCATGTCTGTTGCATTCTCTGGAGAAGGGGAGGAAGGATATGAGCTGTGTTACCTGGGAAGCTGGGAAGTCTGGCTGTCTGTCAGTCCTGTGCACAGGGCTGCCAAACTCATGGGCAAAGCTCTTTAGTGAGCACAGGACAAGGCCCTTCTCTGTGAGCTAATTTGGGCTTTCCCCTGTGTACACCACAGACTGACAGAGCTTTTTTGGCAACTGTGTCTGTTCACTGTCTTTTGGTAAAGGAAGTAACCTCCTTCTCCCACAATGCTTGTACCAACACCGTATAATGGCTAGGCCAAGGTAGGACTATCAGTAACTTTTACACTTCTTACCCTTAGGCCAAATGAACATTGCATCCCCTCCACCTCCTACTATTTATTTTTCTGGACATGTTCAGAACACAATTACCTGACCCAGCTCTTAGCAGCCATATGCCTGTTCCTTCTGCTCTGACTGTTGGGCCAAAACCATCATTTTTGTTATTGCTGGAGAGACTTGCTAATTCTCTCCAGCTAGACGGTGGTTGGCACAAAGGCATGAGAGTATGGGAGAAGCAACCAGTGCCCAGCCTGCTTGCTTACTGCTAGGTCCTAAATTGATAAGGGGAGGTGAGGGAAGAGCAGTTGGCAGATGCTCTTGATCCCTTCCAGATCAAGGAGGAATTCTGGCCCTACCTTTTCCCCAGCATCTCACCATTGCAAGTGCTGCCTTCTCCAGTATGACTTGCAGTGTGAGTTGTGGCTTAAAGCCTTGTTCTGTCCTGTGTCTTGCTCAACATCACTGAGTCTGGCGGGGTTTGCTAACCTGCCTCTGGGGCAGTCCATGGAGGCTACAATAGAGACATGGACCTGCCTCAGCTGCCCCTGTCACACCATGGTTCACTGGATGAGAGATCGGGTGTCACTCTGTGCACAGGGAACGTCGTCCCAGTTTTGGTGAGAATTTAACATGACTAGGTTAACAGGCAAAGAGTTGACACCTCCTTCTCCTCTGCCATGGTGGAAAATCTTTGAGCTGAACGCAGTAACCTAAACCTGGCCCAAGAGACGAGTGGGCAGGCTCATTCAGAGCCCAATGGAAGAGGCAAATATACATGTATGACTGTGATGGGTTGGAGGCAGGATGGTCTCACTCACCAGCCTGTGCCCTCGCTTAAAATTATTGCTACAAAGGACAAATAAGATCCATACCGTAGAAAGACAAATGTCCTGAACTCAACTAGAAAGTACAGTTTTGTTGACTGAACTTACCAGGCTCCTTGAATTCCTTAAAGGTGTCGTTCACCAGGGGGAAATGAATTACTATGGGTGCTCTGGGGTCCTCCGCATCTGCAAACACGTAACATTCCTTTGGGTTCTTCTCTTCTTCTTTACTTAGCTCCACTTTGGGGAATGGGATTTTTTGTATCTTGCAATATTTGTATGTCATCTCCAATTGCTGTGAACACAGAACGTCATTGCATTAAAGCCAACACTGAGACAAGAATCAGGTTTACTGAGGTATCATAGAAATACTACAGCAACTTAATTCAGTCCCTAAAATCACTCTGCAACGAGTGTGCAGTTCAAAACAGCCACAGTATAGCCCTGCTTTCTGCCACCACTCACCAGAAGTCAGAAGATGCTTCTTTTCACCCTATAGTGTTTTTTTCACAGCTAGAGGGAATGACCAAAAGCCACACTTAGAATTTGTCACGAGGACAGACCAGGAGAGATTAAGGTCATGTCTCCAGCAACCAATTGTTACTGCAGTTCCCTGAGGATCCTAGGAAGCCTATGCTGCAATCCACCACAGAGGAAAGAGCCTAACAGTTTTGATAGTTCTGATCCTGAAGGAAGTTTCTTTCCTCCTCCAAGATATGGTTTCTGGTTTGCTCTGGAGGATGTGATTTAATAACACAAGAAGGTTTTACCAGGACTGCAAAGGGCAGAGCACGTTAATCTTCTCACCTTGAACACGTTCCCCAAACCATAATCCAGTGAGATAATGACATCTACATTCCTCTCTGGCTTGAAAAGTGCTGCACCGCTGGTGTTGATGAAATAGCCAACATCGATCAGGCAAAGATACTTCTGCAGCGGTGTCAGACTGTTAGGGAAAGCGTCCAGCACAGTGTCTGAAAAACATTTCGTATATAGTTAGTGGTGCATTGGTAGGAAAGGAGCAGTCAGTAATTCTGTCTGTGCTACGGGTTAAGGGCAGCCCCTTGGTTGCCCTCGAGACCAGGCTCACCTCCCTCCATACTGCGAGCCCACAAAGGTGGCCTCAGGAGCAGGCCCTCCAAAGGCAGGTCTGAGCACATCTGGCCTGTTACCCCAGGCGGGCTCGCAGGGGCAGGCCGTGAGGCAGCTGGGCAGAGGGCAGGAGAGACACAGACTCCACTGGCCTCACGGCTGCTCTGGGGAGGGATTTTTCACAGAATACAGATTTTAGCCGTTTGGGTTTTTTTTTCCCCCTAAGAGCTGGGAAAAATGCAAACAACAAAAACAATTTCACAGTGTAGCAACAAATCTAACAAATGCGGTCCCTCACTGCACTTCTCCATTGCTCTTTTTCTGCTTTTGCATTCTGAAGACTAGACTCCTCTCCCAGGGTGAAAGTAGCAACAAATCTAACAAATGCGGTCCCTCGCTGCACTTCTCCATTGCTCTTTTTTTGCTTTTGCATTCTGAGGACTAGACTACTCTCCCAGGGTGAAATAAATCTGACTTCAACCTGCTTTCAGTGATCTCTCATATAAATTATCTTAGCCATGTTTGAAAAAAATACCAAACCGTGCACACAGCATCCCCTACCAACATTGCTTGAATATTTTCACATATCCTCACATTAACACCAAAAAGGAGCCAAGATACCACTGATGAGTTGAGATCTAAAGCTAGTTTCTGATAGCCAGACTCTAATTTCTTTGCCTGGCCCTGTAGACTACTATTATTGCCTCGGTACCATTTCTAGTCCCACAGAATACGAAACATTTTTGCCATGATTTTAAATATTAGAATAGTGGCTTATGAGTGTTCCTCAAGTTCACAAAATGAGGTAGCGAAGTCCAGGGCAGTTCTCTTGAGCCTTAAGTCATTTGTGCTTAGGTATTTTAAGAGACTGTTGATCACAGAAATACTGCAGGTAAGTTCCAGCATTTCACTTCTTTTAATCTCTCTGCTTCCTTGGCCTCACTCTGTAGCAAATAGTGGCTTATGAGTGTTCCTCAAGTTCACAAAATGAGGTAGCGAAGTCCAGGGCAGTTCTCTTGAGCCTTAAGTCATTTGTGCTTAGGTATTTTAAGAGACTGTTGATCACAGAAATACTGCAGGTAAGTTCCAGCATTTCACTTCTTTCAATCTCTCTGCCTCCTTGGCCTCCCTCTGTAGTGTTAATTTAAACTGTGCAGAATAACTCCAGCTTGTGTCATAGCATGGAATGTTTGACAGCAGCCTGAAGAAATAACTCATATTTTTTCCATTCCCTCACTATCAGGTCTTTACAAAATTATTTGCTTGCTTTAGCATTCATGGCTGCTGGGAATTCACAGATTCTGCTGTAACGAGAGACATTTGCTTGCAGTCCCCCCCAGAAGAAACAGAGCGTACTTTTTAGTTTTATTTGGCCTAGTGAATATTTCTAGTTGAAATTCCATTATCTCCATTTTCTTATCACGGAGATGGAACTGTGCAGCATTTATTCCTAATTTCTTCCAGTTCCTACAGGAACCTCCAGGAGCCTACAGGAGAGATGGGGAGGGACTCTTTATCGGGGAGGGGAGTGACAGGATGAAGGGGAATAGTTTTAAACTGAACGAGGGGAAATTTAGATTAGATATTAGGAATAAATTCTTTCCTGTGAGGGTGATGGAACAGGTTGCCCAGAGAAGCTGTGGGTGCCCCATCCCTGGAGGGGTTCAAGGCCAGGCTGGATGGGGCTTTGAGCAACCTGGTCTGGTGGGAGGTGTCCCTGCCCAGGGCAGGGAGGTTGGAACTCAATGATCTTTAAGGTCCCTCCTAACCCAAACCACTCTATGATTCATGGCTGAATACGTGAATTAGAAGTAGGCATTTCCTTGGGAGAGTGTCTTCTTCCATCCCACACCCAAAAGGGCCTTTAAAGAAAATCCTGCCTCAGGAATTCCCTTGAAACCATGAACCTTACTGTAAATGCACTACACTAATTCCAGGCCATGAGTTCTCAGATTTCTCACCATGAAAATCAGGCTTTTCACATGGCATTTAAAGTCTTGTTTTAATGTGTCAGATAACCTGAGCTGCAGGGAAGCCTTTAAAACACAGCTACATTCTGAAGACTTCACCTACCACAAGACTAACATTTCTGCTCACAGAGCTGGCATCTCCTCTAGCTCCTAGAGATGGATCCGTACCTGGTTTTAGCTTGGTCTCATGCAGGCAGCCAAAAAAGGATACAAAATCTGCTAATTTTTCCCACTGCAGACTTCATACTTTCCACTTACATTACTTTATATCTACCCTGACGTAGTCTTTAGTGTCCCTATGCTCTCTGCCTCCAAATCCTCTTTGAAATCTGCTTCTACTCATTTCCCTAGGAAGGATAATTATTTCTTTTAACATTTACTGACTGACAATTTTATCCTTCATCCACCTTCTTAAGCTACGTGCTTGCTGCTTCTCTCGCCCACCCTTCTTATGCTGCTTGTTTTCTCCTCTTGCTTGTTTTCTTAGAGCAGACTCTTTCAAGACAAACTTTTTGCTCACTGAACATTTTGAAAGTGCTTAGCACACTGTGGGCTCTGCCTTTATCCGCAAAACAGCTCCACCATCTCTTGCCATTGTCAGCAAACCATGTAGTAATGACAGCCAGGGACAAAAAGTGTGTAACTAACTTGCATGAAACAGAGGAGAGAAAACAAAAATTGCCAAAGAGAAGAAGTCTAAGGAGGCAGAGAACACGTGTTTTCTTGATGAAGTCAAGAAAACTTATGGGGTCCTCCCCCACTGCTACCCACTCATAGAATAAGTGAGGATGCTGGGATTACAGGAAGGTTTGTGATGCACAAAACCTCAGCTCTGCCACCTTGCCATCATTTCACAGATTGTTTCATAGATTTTGAGGTGAAACTGTTATGACTTTGCCTGCCTGGAGAGCACAGGCCATAGAAGACTGCTGTTCAATTTATACATCAAGTCTACGCATTCTGTTTGTTTAATATATACAGGCTAAACCTATCTGCCTTTAACTTTCTTTGCTTGGATCTTGGTATTCCTGTTTCTGAAGGGTTAAAGAGAGGTGTCTGAATGGATAAACCATGAGGCAGAAATACCACACATATGGGCAAAAGACATGCTTGCAGCCAGTCCTTTCCTTCATCTGATCCACTTAATAACCTGCTGTTTTATGCTTCCAGTGTTACCTTTGTTTCTTGACCTCAAAAGATTTTTTGACTAAATTTTTTGACTACTGAGCCTATACAGAGTGACAAACTTCCTGTAGAAGAACATGCTTTTACACAAATTACAGATATCTTCAGGAGGTTAAACAATGGCCCATGGACTAGTTCATTTTAACCTGTTACCCTAAAGAAACAGACACCGCGAACATAGTTCCATCTCAGCAGATTTCCAAACCCTGAGAAAATATCTCTAACTGTGAGATTTCCAAAGTAAAAAAAAAATAAAATTCTGAGATGTTACCTGCACACTGCAGCTAACTCTTTGTTGCAGTTACCTTTCCATTCAATAAATTTTTTCTGATGGATATAATCCTTATGAAATTCTAAGCCTCTCAGGAAGTTATGCGACTTTCCCAGTAGCGGACGCTTGGTCAGAATGTCCTGAAACATTTCATACAACTTCCCTGACAAACAAGACGGAGGCTCCACGATAGTGACGTCCTCCTCAGGGGAATGCTTTTCTGAAACAGAGAAGGAACTGTGAGAAAACATCTCAGCAATCTGTTCTGCCAGGCACCTTCAGTGGCTGACTGCCCTTTGCTGTCTTCCTGTGGGGCCCTCCCCTCCCAGCTTCTTGCAGTTTGCTTGAAAACATATGCACGTGACCAATACCACTTAAATAAATAGGTATTTGGGGTTGTTTAAAGCACAGCTTTTGTCTCTTACTCTTCCAAATACCACACTGGATTTGCACTTTTGCCCTCTCATTTGCAGTCACGGGAGGAGTCATTTAACAGACCATGAGGAAATATTAAATCAAAGTGCGCCTTTGGGTTCAAATTAAAATAGTAAAATCAAATCAAATAAAATCAAATCATCACATAGTGATCATTCTGATACAGGTGAAAATCCTGCTGGAAGTTTCAGAATGAGGCAACACAATATGCAGCAATTTAGGGAGAATATGTGAGAGATTATTCATAAACAGTGGCAATAGCATATCTTTCTTAATCTTCTCCTGAATAGGAAACACTGTCTGGTCAAAAAAATAAAAAACAAACTGATTTTGAAACTCTTACCTATATCCACCATATCTTTGGCCCATCGTTCCCAGAATTCATTTGAATTTGAGGACCAGTACAAGCCATCCAGCAAATTCCTAGTAAAGATGTTTGTCCAAAGACCTGCAAGTCAAACCACATGTTAAAATACTGCACCACCACGTTACACACTGACTATGACAAGTATCCATGCTACACATTATTGGCCCACGTGAACTGACCCTGTCATAACACAGATTAAGCAGTGGGTCTTGTAGAGTTCAAACACAACAGTGTCAGCACTTCAGTACTCTTTCTCAGGAAAAAACTACACACAAACCATTCACTGCAGAGTACAGAGTGACAAAGTTAGAGGTATCGGTCACCCAAACAGTGTTTTAGAGTGTTTACTGTGTACCTAAAAGAAAGAAAGAAAGCAGCTTTGAAAGTGGGGTGAAGCCATATAAGCATAAGATCCTTCTTTAAACTGATCTATTCTTTAAATTGATCTAAGACCCATTTTTTCCTTTCAGGCATGTTTTGTTTCTGTGGAGTTCAACTGGTCCAGGACCAAAATCGAATTCGTTCCATATGTGAGTCTGCTTTTGGAAAAGCAAGAACTATCCTTTGTCATTAAGCCCCATGCCAGGTACTCACATGAGGAACAAATTCAATCTCTAGCATGCTTCACAGTGAGAGAAATAGGATTTTTGTCTCCACTGGACCCTTGTTTTTCATATTAAAAACTGAAATACTGACAAGGATTTATAATCTGCCTGGGGCAGACAGATTCCCTCACTAACTGCTTTTCCCCTTCTCTTTGCCTTTTGAGGCAGAACAGTCAGTCAAAGCAGTTGTTGGAGGTTAAAAGGGCTTCCTTCATCCTTATGGGCAGGCAAGATTAGTGACACCATTCTCAACCCACAAAGCTCAACCCTTTGTGGGCTGTACTAGATGAGCTATGTTTTATTTTCAGCTCCTTCCAATTCTACCCCAGCAATGTTTTGCCTAGAAGTACAGTTGATGAAGTTGAAGAGTTGATGACTGGTCAAGGAAGAAAGGCTTATTATTTCCTCAATTTGCCTTCTCCACCTTCTTGTTTGGTTCAGAAAATGGGAAGTGGAACCTTGCTGCAACTTTCCCAAATCTGCCCAGGCTAAAGGGAGGACAGGAGGAAAGAAGCGTTACAAAGAGCAGAAATGTATAAAAGTGGTAAAGATCTCAATGAACCAAGACCTAGAGCAGACCTGCTTACAAGGAGTGTTGTACACAGACCAGTGGTTGGCTAGCCAGTATCATGCTTTCTACCATGTTGTGATTTCTACTATATAGCACTGCTAGGTCACCTTCCAGATAGCAGATCCGAGACTCTGGCAGCTTCTTCACTCGCCTTCCCATGAAGAACTCGCTGTCAAAATACTCCGAACGAATGGAGGCTCCGTATTTTGGTATGGCCACCTCGTAAGGAGAGAACTCTGCCCACTCTACAAAAGAATTGACAGATGGCACGTTTACTGTAATAAAATTAAGAAACCAGAACGTTCCCCTGTGGATAAAGCTATGCACAAGCTCCACGGATCTTGTTCGTCTCAGCAGCTCTATACTGTCAGTAGCTCTGTATTAGCAGTAGCTCTGTATTGCAAATGACATCGTCTAGTTCCATACAAACTGAGAGATGATTTCCATACAAAAGGAACTAGGTTTTTCACCTCAGAAAGAGTCTAATGTTACCTTCAAAAGCTTAGATTTATATTTCTATATAAAGATTCTGGGATCCCACTTGCCTCTGTAAATCAAGAGCATCAAAGGCACACCATGCAAGTGTGATCTAACCTGCCAGGAATGACTGGCACGAAACCTCTACTAACCCAAACCTGTCAGTCTACATGATATAACAAACCAGCCCAAAGACACATCAGCTCCAAACTAGAAAGTATCGCAGTGTGGGCACAGCTGTGCAGTCCCCAGACTCAAGCTGTCCTGTACAGGTGTAGCAGTAGAACAGTAGCTATAAACTGAGCCAAATGTTAGTACAAACTGTTTTTGCTCTCCAGTATCTGCTCATTTTAATACTTTTTGTTTAATGTATCCTGTGTCCATTTAAACGGTGTCATATCACACCCATCATAGCAATCATTCTCCACTCCATTTTCATACCCTCATCAGTGCAGTATTCAGGGAAATGACAATTACATTTCACAGCACCTCTACAAACTAAGGAACCATCAAAGCCATTCCACAGGCGTGGAACTGAGGCAGAAAAAGATCACACGATTTGCCCACACTCATTCACAATGTCTGTGGAAAAACTAGAACTTCACCCCAGATCTTCAGAAATGCCCTGTTCATGCCTGAGGATGTCACCCTGCTCTTTCTAATCAACACCTAGCAGCTTGCAAAAAGGACAAACATTTTATTAAAAGATGAATACAGAGTCAGGGCAAGCAACAGATGTGTTCCCCTTTCATTGTCCACACACATGCACCCTCCCTCCAAATTCTCTTTACTCCCTCCTCAGAGTCAGAAGAAACTTTGGGAATACCTACCTCTAAATTTGAAAGTACCAAACTTTTCCTCTTTCACATTGAGGACTGCATAGAAAGGCAATGGGTTTTGTCCATGCTCCAATGCCTTGCGTTGGTCTGTGAGTTTGTACTTTCTTGGCTAATCAAAGAGATAAAAAAAATCACAGTAAAACTCTGGAAGAGCGTAAGGCAAAAACACTGACACAATCTACCTGAGCACAGACAGACAACAGATGTTTTACAACCCACAGGAATCTGTGAGTCACGTTTTTATAAAAGACCTCTTCCTTCATGTTCCTGCACTTTCCTTCCTGGTTGCCTTTTTGATAACTAGGAACCTCTTCATTAATACCTAAGTGCCTTGACTGCCTGCATCCCACAGATCTTTACTAAGGCTGAAACCGATCTTCACATGAGGACAGATTACTTTAGCTCTAAAGTGTCCAACTAGAACAAGACTTGAAAAGACCTGACTTTTCAGAGGGAATTACTCAGTTCTTTCTGAAAGATTGCCTACTGAAGTTGCCAGCTGTTGAGCACCCAAGTACAGAGGCATCTTCAAATGATTAGCTACCCTGGAAAATCCCAGCTACAAGATCCTCTGTCGTTGTTTACAAATCACACTGGGGTGCCTCAGCCACTTTGGATTTGTTCCACACATTATGTCATGCCCTCAAAGAATAAAGCTCTAAAGAAAATGGGTGGATGTTTCCCAAATGTGTGGCAGGACCACATACCCGTTCATGTAAGAACATTTCCTGCACAAGTGACCACAGAGTTGTAAAAGATGGCACATGTCCTGCTTTTGCCCTTTCGGCGAGTTCCTTGTGATAATACTTCAGATGGTCTATGGACATAAGGTTGAGCTTGCATTTTGTCACTTGCTCTTTTACTGCCTTAAGTGGCCCTTCCAGACTCCTCTGGGACCAGTCGGCATGCTCATACAGGTCTGCTAGGGTCCTAAAGAACAGAAACATGAGAAAATCACCCATTTATTCCGATAATTTTGGAAAATCACTACATTTACCCAGCCGCTTTCATCAAAGAAGAGAATTGTCAAGCCTAAACTGAAGTTATGACCAAGAGCTAACAGTAATGGCTTTACCTGGGAATTACATTCACTTATGAACAATGTGAGACTTCCAAAGAGATCTCTCTCTCTCTCTGTGTGGAAATGTAGTGTCACAGTCATTCCAAATACAAAACTCATTTCTATACGCACCATGTTGAGCCAGAAGCCCCGGTGACATAGGTAACACAGTCCAACAGATTCAGCTTCTGAAGAGCTAAGAGGTGGCCAAACATAGCTGACATCGCTCTGAGGCCTCCGCCCGTTGCCATAACAGCTATTACTGGGACCTGTTCAAAACATAAGTGTTATCTTCAAAAAATTACTCGCTTGCCTACTTGGAAAAGTCTAATTACAGCTCTTATAATTTCCTCAGCAGACGTCATTGGAGGACAATGAAATGAAATCTACATTCAGCCAGTCTTTATCAGTACCTTCTTTAAATTAACCTCCAGATATTCAGTAGGTTCCCTTAACCCAAAAGCTTGGACGAGTTTGACTATGCAGTGTTTTTAACCTTCCTTCCTTCCCTTGTTCTTTATAATTGGAATTTCAATGATTAATAACAGATAATGATATTATTACAAGTATAAAAAAATGCAATAACTGTAATTAAGAATGGATTCAAGGAAGTCCTGAGCAGAGTTCAGAAAAAATATATTAAGCAAACAAAATGATTCTTTGGACATCATCCATTCAACAAATACAATTCCAGCAAGAAAATAAATGTTCACTTAAAAATTCACCCTGGATCTTGGCAACAAAACATACTTCAGCTGGAGCTTGTTATAAAATGTTCTTTCTTCGCCCTAAAGGATTTTGACTTTTTGTGAAAAGTGTTCTGAAAATGAAGAAAAAAGCATAAGCCTAAAGAAGGGACATTACAACAATTTCATGAATATCAACGTGAGCTGAATTTCAAATACTATTTCCCTACTTGTTTTGGGTTGTCTGGCTAGGCTATGCATAAAACAAGGTACCCACGCCTCATATCTTGCTGACCCGCTGCATCACACTGTTGGAAACTCTGGCTTTGAAGGGTGATATAGTATGTCCTTGGGAATTTGACCCATTGAAAAGAACAGAGGTATGAATAGCTGAGCTGAAATTTTAGATAAGTGTGGGGTACGCCACACTGAGAACTTCTGTCCTGCTGCCACTCAAATCAATGGGTTTGTCATCAACATACAAAACCCACTAGAAATCTGGTGGGGAGACTTGTGCCAATCCTAATTCAACAGACCCACACCCCATGCTTGGATTCCAACTCACAGACCTCGTGTCCATGTAGGTCTCTGTCCAGATGAAGAACCCTTCTCAGGGCACTGCCAACCACTCTCTTCCTTTTTTGCAAGAATTCTTGTTCTTCTTGGCACAGATCATACCCAAAGCGCACATCTAGTCTTTCTGTGCTGAAACAAAAATAAATCCAGAGGCACAGGATTGATATTTAAAACTTATATGGGTCTACTTTCAGTAACTCCAGTCTACTAAATATCATAAAAAATCATTATTCACTCTTCAGATTTAGAGACAAAAATGCAGCTTCCAGTTTCAAAGAAACCAACTGCTTTGCTTCTATGTAGTTTCTATATTTTCTGATGTTTCAGTGTAAGTTTCACTGCCAGCTAAGGACAGCAAATATGAAAAAAGAAAGGCTTCTTTGTGTCTTTCAGTAGCTTTGTAAGCTGAATCCTTTCTCTTTCTGCTTCATATAATTTCTGAGCAAAGGGCAATTTGAACCTAACAAGGTCTTTCATGGGGATTTGTATCACAGATTTATACAGAAAGAGTATAGTGAAAAAGATATTCAAATAATTTTGGCTTATTTGTTGCCTGTCTCATTATTTTACAGTGTAATATTTCATCTTCCCTAGCTTGTGCTTATTTCTATTGATATCACCACAGCCACAAACCTCTGTTCTTAAGAACACCTGTGTGGTTTGTGTAATGTATGGACTCTGGATGTTTTGCTTATTTCAAATTCCCTTTTCCCGCTGCCTTCTTGCCGCTTCTGTGTCCCTTTTGAAGAAGCCTCCAAATCTCAGTCTTTGGTTCTTTGACACAAAGGACACTAAGTGACTAAGTTTCTCCCTGTTTGAAACTCTCATTCTTTTTTTTATGCATCTTGGCATGACTCTTTTGTCCTAAGGACATTTAACTTTAATCTGTTGTGGTGACTCTTTAGTGGTGACTTAACCATTGTTATATTTTGCCTCTAGTCTCGTGCGTCCCTTGTATCTAAATAAAGGATACTTTGTTCTTGAATTCACAGTTCAAAGAGCAATAAAATCTTTAGAGAAAAAACCCAGTCCTCTTACCACTCATTTAGCTGGAGGTACAACTGCAGTGGCACATTCTGTAAACAAAGAAATGAGAGCAGGATACATATTCACAGAATCACAGAATCACAGAATCTTCTAGGTTGGAAGGGACCTTAAAGATCATCTTGTCCAACCGTCAACCTAACTGACAAAAATACACACCCACACAACAAACAAGGAGCAGCATCACCAACCCATACCGCCCAGCTCGTCATCTACCCGTCTTTTGAACACCTCCAGGGATGGTGCCTCAACCCCCTCCCTGGGCAGCCCATTCCAATGCCTGATAACCCTTTCAGTGAAAAAATTTTTCCTAATATCCAGCCTGAACCTCCCCTGGGGTAACTTGAGGCCATTTCCTCTTGTCCTGTCGCCTGTGACTTGAGAGAAGAGACCGACCCCCATCTCTCTACCCCCTCCTTTCAGGGAGTTGGAGAGAGCAATAAGGTCTCCCCTCAGCCTCCTCTTCTCCAGGCTGAATAACCCCAGTTCCCTCAGCCTCTCCTCATAAGACTGGGAAAAAGAGAAGGTTTGAAACCCAGATTTTCACTGCCTCCTGAAATGCCTCACCACTACCACCCTGCCCACATTTTTTTGGAAAACTGAAGCAGGAAATAGAAGAAAAGCAACTAAACACCAAACACATACTACAGAGAAGCAGAAGAGGCAGGAGGAGTTGAAGTGGCCAGATCAACAGGCTGTGAAACAGGATTTCATCGTCACTGTGAATATACCTCCACAAATCATCCTAACCCAGCAGCACTATCACATTGCCACCCTCCTACTCTTGAGGATGAAGAACAGCAGCCCGATAAAGACAGTGATAGAAGAGGAAACACAAGTCCCCACATCCTTCCAAAAAGCTACTGGAGGTAAAAGAGAGTCCAAACAGGGGTAGGGAATCACTAGTGGTGAAACAGATATTCATTCTCTTTACGGGAAAGGCTGCTGAGAAATTCTTCCCCTCCTATTTTTGCCTCTCATTTGCTGCAAGGTCTGGGCAAAGATGTCTGGTTATTGTTAACAGATCCATCTGGCCACACAGCAACATTACTGCTGCTTTTAAAGCAGCTTAGGGTTGTACCTCTCCACCAGTCACCATCACGACTGTACGCAAAAAAGAATGTGACAGAATTGTTTCTGAGGGTAAGATACAACTCATCTAACTTTAGCCATCTAAAAATGAGGTATATAGACTGAGCTGGCCACCCAGGCTTGACAAAGGGCAGTGGGGCATCCCAAAGCCTTGCTAGGGGATGAACTGTGTAAGGATAGCAGAGGTTGGTCTGAAATGCATCTAAAACTGGCCAGGACGAATTCCCAGTTATTGATTTTATTGACAGAAATTTGATATTTCTCTGAGAAAACTAACCTGTTTCACAGAAAGCTTATACTTGCACAAAATTCTTACTCAACACTTACTAATAGATTTATTATTTTTTTTAATGTTATGGTGTTAAATACTGAGGGTTACTCTACTCGGTTACTCTACTCTTCTCTCCAAAAGTTCATATAAATGGTGAAGCACTTACATGTCTCACAGGGAGGGTTACTTTCACTCTGTGTCCAACAGGGAGAAATTTCAGTGGTACTGTCAAGGTGTCACTTAAATTGCTGTTGTCATCTTCCTTATCAGAAACTTTCTACAGAGAACAAAAAACCATGTTGTTTACTGACAGAATAGAAATAATCCAGTTCTTTACTGTTTTAGTGACACGGGAAATAAGCATGCAGTGTGAACAGTGGTACTGTATAGTGCCCATTACCTGCAGCCTGACTTTCAGAACTGGCTCCCAAGCCTTCACGCAATGGAAGTAGAAAGTATCTGTGTCCTCTGTAGTTTTCTGTGTTCCCTCGTGAGATGCAGGCACCGTAAGCACGAGATTTTTACTCTCTAGTGAAAACAGATTGGTTTAGAGAATAATACCGCTGGTCAGGCAAAACAGCTAACAAAGTTGGCAAACTTTTGCTGGAGTCATTCTCTGTGGTAACTCCTCTGTAAGCTGCTACATTGGCAAGTCTCCTACAGCACAGGAACTGGTACTCCTGCCTTCACCCCATAGCCTGGAGTGCTCCCAGCATCAGCACTCTCTCATACTGCCACCAGCCAAGTTTACTGTGTCCAAACCAGATAGCTTCAAGGAAAGACACAGAGATCAGCGTCACAACTGGACTTTCAATTGCATTACGTTTTGTTGTCTTTAGAACATTCTTAGTCGCCTCTGTATCCTAAAGTGCCTTCATCTGGGTCTGAATGACAATGATAAGAGTTGATTTGGTCATGTCCTCGCTTCACAGAGAAATTAGCATACCTCTCAAATATCTCCTGCTTTCATTAATGTCCACTTGCACTTCCAAGCAGCAAACCTCACGGGACTGTAAAAGACGGGAGTGGAAAAGCGTGAAGGTCACAAATGCCACAGCTGCAGCAAATAATGAAACATCCTGCAGACAACCACTTCCCAAACACAGAGCCAACTAAACTGGCCCCAGTGCTGGAAGCAATCCAGCTGCAGAAGAGTCAATTCAGAGCTCATTATCCCAGGACAGTAGCCCAGTTACACTGCTTCAGAACTAGCCTGTCCATTCAGCGGTGCATTGTCAGAGGTTGTTATACCCATTCAAATTATCCCAAAATCAGAAAACTCTGTACAACATACTATTGCCAAAATAGCTACATATGTATCTGATAACTATTTAGGAAAGGTGGGGGGAAAACACTCGATGATGAGTTTATGTGCATTGTGGCAGTGATTAGTCTACAAGGCATCTTCTTGCTGGTCCTGGTGTTGGGAGATCATGAATTTATTCCACCCTACCCTCCACCTGAGTCATTCCAGTTCACCTTTAATAAGTCATGCCAGGACAGCTTTCCAAGCCATTTCAGGAACAACGCATGCCAATCATTACAGCTCTTATGCCTCACACAGAAAATGAGGGGGAAAGAACACAGTATGTGTTACTTTGCCTGAGGGGTATTAAAGGCTAGCACCTGGGAATCATGCGCAGGCTTGGAGTGGTTGGCATGAAGCACTTTGTACTCCTTAGCCGCTGGGCCAGCCCAAGGAGACAGGTAATGTACCACAGGCTGACTAATACCAAAAGAGGACTCTGTTTCAATGACTAAAATAACTCTTTATTAAAAAAGTCATTTCCCAAAAAGCTGTTACATTAGATAACCCAGTCATAAGCACGCTGAATACTTACTATGGCCTTCTACAGACTCATCCTGTTTATAACCTTTGTTTTTCCTGCCAAGTGCCATACCGTATTACATGAAACACCAGCAGTTTTCACTTTGAACACCAACAAATGTGGGGTTCTGCAACATTAACAAAGCACAGCTGGGCAAAATATTGACATCTGTAACACCTGAGGACTTCCAGAAACACAGCTTCTATTTCTGCATGGAGAGGACAACATAATAAATGGGAATTGTCCCACATCGTTCACTTTATAATGCACACTATGCTCTTATCTATCAGGGTAATTCTGTTCTCTTTATAAAATGACAGATGGTTAAGGGGAAGAGGAGACAATCAAAATGAAGGAAAAGTCACTCCAAGCTAAATTCATGTGTGAAACTTACCACTAGGACGTCGTTGGTAATGAGGTGCTCTGGAGGGCCAGGACTGAAAAGACAGAATCAAAACACAAACAAACAAAGTCTGTTTGAGTATCTGGTATTTTAAAAGAATAGTAGTTTTACGACCTTTCCTGCTTAAAATTAAATATAGTTATATTAGTACCACAATTTGTTTTGTAAAAGGCATCATACATGATCACCTGCTAAGCACATGAACCAAAATGTAGTAGCCAAGCCAGATTAAAGGAAGGAGAGCCCATAAAAATACCAAAGCTTAAAACTATATGCTAAGATACAGCAGAACAAAAACATATTGGTCTTTGTGGAATAATGTCCTGCTATTAATAAATAACCATATGACTGGGGGAAGGCAAAGACTGCTATTAATATATTCTGCAAATACTTATTAGGAAAGACATTTCTGACTGTTCCAGATTATAATTTACAGCTGATCACAAATGAATGTCAAATAAGAATTAGCTCCCACTGTGCTATATGTATGACTAGAAAACACAGAGGTAAGTAATGAAAAGTCTTTGTTCCAGACATTTTTACCTAGTAAGACCGAGGACTGTCACTGAACGGATGTAGGTATTTAATACTATGAGTAACCTGTAGAGTCTACTAACAGCATCTCTCATTAAGGCCAATACTCCAACATCACTGCATTACACACAATTATAAGTGCTTTCATATATCTGAAAGGACCATTAAACTTATGTAGTATGCAATCTTTCACATTCTGCAAAGTCCAGGGTATTTTACCAAGCACCACTTCCAGCCTTAAAACTTCTATTTCAGCTGTAGAATGTACTTAAATGTAAATAATTAGGATGCAGAATCCACCACATGCCTTCTAACTTGAAAGCTGAAAGATGTTCCTCTTCTTTCTAGTCTGAATCTACTCAGTTTCCAAGCACTGCAACTCATTCTGTTCTTTTTATCTATCTGTCTGTGACTGCTTCCACATTTGCAGGAGATGCTTATACCATCTCTTAAGGTATCTCTCAGATAAATTAAATAGGTTTTCTTGAGTTTCTCTGTGGGAGAAATTAACCAAGAACACCGATGATTTTTCTTCTGCAGCTTTTCCATGTTTTCCATTATTTACAGCTCTTTTTTCTAATCATGCAATTAGTTAGTTTTGACTGGACTATATTCCTTTTTTTGGTAATGCTAAGCTCAAACATGCCAGAACATGTAGTTTAGGGTTTTCTTCAACCAACCTTGTGATAGCGTTTAAAAGAGAGATAAAGTTTATGTTATGGGATTTGTTGTCCTTCAGACAATGTTGATTACCACTTTGAGGGGGATGGTCTTAATTTTATTATTTGTTGATTGCATGTTTTTTCAGTTTAGCTAAACTACTGCCAAAGGGGTGGCTTTTCTAATACTGTTTACATCGCTCTATGTATATATCATGATAATAACACAAGTTTCCTGGTCTTTTAGAAACACCGCAGTGTTCTAGGCATTGCTCAGTTAATATTAACAACTTGAAGAGCTCCTCCATTAAGTTTTACACTTATCTTGTGTATAAGTTATCACACTGCACCAATATTACTACAGTTCTACAATCAGGATACACATGTTGAACAGAAGGTAAGATTTGTACGAAAAATATTGAAAGGCAGAATTAGCTGGGGAAGTTAAGGTAAAAAAAAGTTTGAAACTAATTTCAGCTCACTGCTGGGAGGAAGACTGGAAGACGTTCTGCTTTCCCTGAGATATTATTACTCCCTGGCAGATTTATACATTTCAGCTTTGGAATTTTACTCACATTCTTTCCATCCAGAATTCCACTTCCAAACTTTCCCATTTCTTAGTGCACCTCTCTTTCTAAAAAGAAAAGGGTAAAATAAATACAGATTATTGGAGGCTGCGAGAATTTGGCAGTATAGACAAACCTGAAAAAGCACTTCCATGGCTGACTTCTCTTCTGCTAATGTTACCAAAAAAGCTGTGTGTTACCTCTTTCCAAAGCTGAGATTGCAATGGAAACCACAGGCTTGTGAAAGACATGTAAGATTAATATTCTCCCATTGTGAGATATGCAGAATCATACATATTTCCAAAGAGACAATCAGAGAGGGAAGGCTTGATGAAACAGAAATATAATGGCTTTCTGCAAAGATGGTGTGCACGGGGAAAGGCACTGAAGCCCAGCAACAAATGTGACTAAAGCCAGTGTCATTTCCATGTACAAACGATTTAAAGCACATTCACACTGAATCCCAAAGAGATGGAATAGGCAAGAGTACCCTGGACTGAGGTACTTATTGAATCATTACATTTCCCAGTGACTCACTCTCTGGCTGAGAAGTGCAGAGTCCCAAGGAAGATCAGGCTTTCAGCATTTGGGAAGTAGCTATTCTTTTGGGTATGGAATGTCTCCTTCCTGCAATAAGCCTGTAGCAGTACCTCAGCCACAGCTCAGAGAAGCCGAGGAGCTGTCACAGACCTATCCCAGCTTTGCTCTCTGGACAACTCTCTTTCATGGGCTTCTTAACCCAATACAAACTATGTTTGGAGAACAGGCGTCCCTTCACTAAGGGCTAGAGAAATCTGAATCACCCAGAAGGAAACCCAGCATGAACACCAACAGGAGAAGCCTGGAAGAATCATTTAATTCAAGTGGCAAGTGGGTTGTCTTCATGTTTTTAATAAAAAGTTGCCATTAAGAGGAAATGTCCTCTAAGCATGGCAAAAGCCAAAAGGTAAGGAAGTTATTTATTTACATTACAAAAGACAAAAATTAAAATGTACAGATGCTCCCTGTTAACATATTTTGGCCCACAGAAAGGATGGGCATGAGAGAGAAGCTGTGTCATTTTCTGAATCTGTGAAAAGAGATTAACGAAGTCACAAAAATCCAGCACAATGATATATGATTTGATGAGATATTGATAAAGGTATATAAGTATATGTGTCTATGCAGACCCACATTCCACTTAACATGGAAGCCAATGTGGACAATGAGGCCTTACCAGTCTCTCCCTCTCTCTTCTTACCTCTGATTTCAAAGCAAATGTCTCACGGACTGTCTCCCCGGGTCTGATTCTAGCAACATTAAAAAGAACTGTGAACTGCATGTCATCTTTGGTGAGTGGATCTTCATCACACACTGCCAATTCTAAAACGTTCTGGGAGTAGAAGAAAACAAATAAGAACTCTTATTGAGCTGCTATTGCACAGAAACAAACAAACAGTTATAGACTTTTGCAGCTCTTGACTAGCACAGTGGTAAGAGTAAAGAAATACATGCTTTCCTTCAGGAGTCTGCTAATATGGAACACCATCATTAAACCCAACCTTGGGAAACTTATGATGAAATAGAAGACAGCTACCTGTAACAGAGAGCTCCCACTATCCTGAGATACAAATAATGTCAGTGCTCTGCACCACACTGATAACCCGCCCAAGGAACACACTTACTTAGTTTCTTCATCCCCAAAGTTCTCTCAACTACACAGCTTACGGTAGGTTTAAATTTCTTGTCTACACCACAGCAACTCCTCTACCCTTCCCTTACAACCAGTGAAGGGAAAGCTCTCTCTGAATTAACCATCCAAAATAGTCCAGATGTAGGCATTGATATCACCAATGTCTATAACTAGCTGAGGGGAACACTGCTGCATATGTCTACTGCTTTGGGCTACCCAGTCAGTTCTGTTACGTGAGCATTTTCTTAAGTTAATTAGCACAGTTGATTGACAGGGTGTCGATTCCCAGTAATTGACATTTCTACTTTTTTAGTACCTCAACTTCTCTCTGGATCCTAAAGTAGAAAGTCTCATTCCAGACAGGGTTGTCAGAATTCTTGATGGTTTTGGTCTGAAGCTTTGTATTTGAAGCAGACGGCAGCCACAAGCGCACGTAGCAGTCTGAAGCAGTCACTGCAGCAGAGAAAAATTAAAAACCCGATGCCAGTGTTATTGACGAAAAGTAGGGCAAGGCTGTGATTCTGGAGACTAATAAATATTACTAGTTTTTTAAAAAATAAGTAAAGAGACCATTGGTTGGAAGCAACCAAGAAAAACCACCTAATTCCTCGGTAACTACTAAATGCAAATGTACACATGCACACACAAAGTACACTAAGAACCGTGTTTCCCATGTGAGGAGAAAGAGGTATAAAAGACCCCACTGACCATTCATCTGGCGTAGTCTCTACAATTCCAGTCAATGATGTTAAAAAAGTTTAATTGAAACTAGAGCTAGTTCCAAAAAGGTCTGTTAGGATGATTACAGGAAAGGAGAACACATATTACAGAGAAGACCAGAGGAGACTGGTTTGCTCAGTCCAGCAACACGAACATGCGGAGGAGGTATCACAGGGTTAGGTACTAGAGAAGATCTCTTGCAGCTAAAGGCCGCTGTGGGCCCCAGGAACACCAGGGCACGAGCAAGTCGGAAATCTTCATCTTGCTTCCAGCCTACATCTACTCCTTATGGTTAGTGCAGTCAGTGCCTCGAGCAGCCATCCCTTGGGAAGAGCCAGGGTGGGAAAGTGCATTTACTTTGTGAAGCTTGACAACGGTGCGAAAGGAAATCTCCAAGGTGATGTCTTTCAGAGCTGGAGTCTGGACTTGACGGAAGATTTCTACTGCAGCCTGAGATGCCTAAATACTTCAGACCGGTATCAAGCAGTGAATAACAATGCCCCGCAAGGTTTTGGCAGGAAAGTGGAACTGTCCCTTCAACAGAGTAGATAGAAGAGATCATTGAAACTCAGAAATACAGGCCTCGTCACACTAACACCTGTCTAGTGTCCACCTCTGGACATTGCTATGTGGTATTTGCCACAGGAGTACAGGAAGCCCTTCGGCAGGCAGTTGCTCAACCAGTATGGGACTCGCTCCCTCTGGTCTCCCTCGCATCCACACTTGGTCAAGGTTGTGTTCAGCCCCGTACGGTGAGATGTGAATGGTCTCAGCTGTAACTCAAGTAACTCACTGCAAAATGATGCTTTTTTTAGGTGAACATGACATTTTTCACTAGAGGAATACACAGGCCAGAGGTTTCAAGAGTGTGAGAAAAGACAGCTCAAAGTCTCTGTCCTGACCGAGGAACCCATGGGAGACCCCTGCAAAAATGGCACCTGAATGACTGGTCCACAGCACATCTTGAAAAGGAGCCATAGGAGGCTGTGAGGGCGAGACAATGAGTTAAAGAAGGTTGAATACAGAAGTACACAGAAACGTCTGTTTTGGCTACCTGTTCAGCATGTTCTTAGAACTCGATCTGCAGAGTCCTTCCTTAACCAGAAATTAACAATATCTAACATGACTGGTCATCTGAGGACAGCAAATACCCCGAATGATACCATATTTTTTAAATTCTCTAATTTACCTTTGATTACCATGTATAATTGATACATTACAATAAAGGGTTCCCAAATATGTGGCCTGTGTGGCAAAATTCCAGTCCATTGTATGATTTATACCCATTACAACCATCAAAACCAAACAGCTCCAAGCAGATTTACAGATTGCACTACCCTCACAAGGTCTACCTTCTCTTATTGGCTCAGAAAATTCATCTGGGAGTCTTGATCGTTACCAGTTCCTTGAAATGCCCCTAGATATGTCCTCCAATCTAATGACACCTCAGGCATTTGATCTAATTATAGCCCTGGCATTAGTACTTCCATTGCTCTGCTTTATGTACGTTGCTCGTATGCCTTCAGAACTTTGGAACACTGCTCATTGTGTAAACTCTGGAAGTGACTGAAAACACAATAAAACCACAACTCACACAGGTCTCTTGACTTGATGTTCTTGGCTTGTATGATTCTTACAGAAAGCATGTGGATGGGGCACAACTTCATCTGCAGAGAAAACAAATGCAATTAGTTTTATCAGCTCAGAATACAAAAATTATATGTATTTTGAGTATTTTGTATTTTGCTGTTTGTCTGTTTGAAGTGAGGGGACCTCCCTCCAGTGGAAGTACACCAGGCTTGGATGGTGGCACAAAGGCACACTGGGCTATTTGCTAAGTAGCTTGAGTGAGTGAAGATGGAGAAAGAAAACATGGACTCAGACAATGGTGTGGAAAGTTTTTGTTATTACCGTGAGGTGCCTGTTTTCGTACAACCTGATGTATGGTTTTATGGCCAATTTGTCAAGGGTCCTGTGCTGCAGGTGGGTCAACATCAGGCCTTTGGAAGGCAACACTAGGAGCTCACAGATGCCTGACACCGGGCCAGGACATGGCAGTTACCACCTAGTGCTTTAAACTAGGCCTAAATTCTCATGATGCTCCATGAGGTAGGCCAACCTCACCAAAAGGCACTACTGACTGACTGAATGGACCACAGACCCAGCAGAGACCCTTCAGATGAAGAAAAAAGTGCCCTGCTTTGTAGGTATAATATCACAAAATTAGGTATCTTGAAAACACCTACTTCCCTTCCAGACATGAAATTTATTTCTATCACAGGCAAGCTATCATGGTAACACTTATTTCAAGTTACTTGTTCCTAACGCTAACAAAGAATTAAGCTTCCAAACCCAAGCTGGTCAGGAAGTATTTGTCATTTTTAAACAACATTCCTATAAGCCCGAATAGAGACACATATACAAACATGTGGAAATACTAAAAACACAAAAATATTTCCTTCTTTTTTTAAGAAAATTGGAACATTTAAATTTCTTTTTCATTTTCTTTTGAGTGCTTCATCTATTTTTTTTCATATTACCATGGCTTTCCAGCAATAATAAACAATACAGTCTTGCTACAGCTAATAAATTAAAAGAAGGCCACACCATATTGGAAGTGTGCAGTTAGTTTGAACAGCAGCTTAAACTACACCCTGACTGAAACATCGTATCTATTTGTCTAAATAAGAGTATCCCATTACACCCTAACAGAATAATTTGACAATTTCACTTCAAAAGATAGCACCGTGATTAATTTTCCTGACACTGAAATAATTAACTTTGGAGATAGGAGGAGCTGGAGAAAGAGGAACTTCTCTATAGGAGTCATTTGCTACAGTTAATCTGAAATTCTTTTAAAATGGGGTGGAGACTACTGGACATGTTTATTAGAGATGAGAATAGCCTTCAGTCAGTTTCATTCAGGTTTTTTGAGAAGTAAATTACGCTACATCAAGAGGATACCATTTGAACTCTGAATTAGCACCTTCAAATAAAGGCTTAATATTAAATGTTATGATGTCACTTTTAAAGTTACGCCCTTTTAAAATTCAGATTAATATTCAAGAGTTGCCCTGAGCAGAGGAATCCTATTGTTAAACCTAAAAAATTCACAGATTACTCTGTCTCTTGGCTTCTTAATGGCTGATTGAAACATTTTTTGTATAAAAACTCAAGACATGTTTGTTTGTGTGTGACCAGAATAATTTCCACTATGTTTTCCTCCAATTTGAAACTGACATATTTAAAACCTTCTGAGTTTAATGCATTATGGACGTGTCAAGTCTCAGTTGGGACACTTCCATATTATTCCAGTTGCCCACTGCAAGAATTTGGCTTTAATTTTCCTGTGCAAATAGTTATTTAACATAGAAGTACTAACTGGAACACTCAGCATTCCTAGTGGGTTTCATTAACATGAAATATTGGATTATGTAGCCAATTACAGGGCTGACTGGTTTTAATTAATATGTTAATTCTGTGTTATTTTGTAATCAACTTCCCCCTTGCTCAACAGAAGCCCAAACCATTCTCAGTCTGCCTTCACTGGAGAAACAGATGTTGGTACACAATTTGCTTTGAACCTTTTATGATGGAAATTTTATAATTGCTTACAAAAATGGTGCATCTGCAATTTATCACCAGAGTACTCTCAGTTGTGATAGATGTTTTCATCCGCTCCCTCTGGAGCCAGAGAGCCTCACTCCTCCTCTTTTCCCCTTTCAACTTCCCTTAAACATGTCAACATCTGCCCACTGATGGAAACATCATCAGAGATGACTGTTCAGCTTAGTCCTTGTGTTGTTGCAGGTAAAAGATAAGCAGATTCAGATGGGTAAATATGGCCATAATAAATCCTACGGGCTGTGCAAATCCCCAGGGGAAGCCAGAAGCCATCCTGCCCCCATGACTGCAGTTACACCAGCCTGTGATAACCTTCCAGAATTAGGCTATTTCTTTTTTCCATCAGAAAAAGGCAAAGCTGATTTTCAGCCTGTTGGGGTCTGATTTTGGGGGTCTAAAATAACATCCTTGCCCAAAAGTGCTGGCACTCCAGAACACCCTTCTAGAAAACATAATTGGGGTTAGAGATACCATTTGCTATTTTCATTACATGAAGTGCAACATGTAATTTCACGATTAATGCAAACTGATAAGCACAAACACCATATCCAGACAGCTCTTGACAGTCCTGCAGCTGTACTGGTCTTGCTCTTTTGAGTTCAATTCCTTGGGAGAGCCATAACCATAACGTGCATAGGCAGACAAGAACTAACAAATATACAAAGGGAGCTTTCCCAGAAACACATTATTCTATTTTTGCTGGAAAATTAGTAATGCCACATTGTGGCCAATGACAGAGTGGAGGATTCAGCTACCTGTGTATATTTGCATCCTAGACAGTAACACTCCAGACCAATAAATAGTAGCACGTCCAGCGTCTTTAGCCAGAGCAGGCTAAAAGATGGGGAGGGGGGAAACCAAACCAAAACCCAACCAACCAAAAACCAAACTTCTTTTGGCATGATAGCATTTAACACTAAACTACATTTCTATACTCTCAAAGCAAGTTTTGGTGGAGTCATTTCAGGTCTAAAGTACAGAAAGGCAAATAAACAGGAGAGAAAACTAGCACGGCAGAATTGCCACAACTGTGTCAAACCTTAACAAATTGAAAATTCTCATCTGTTGCTCATTGTTTGTAATAATACACATGTGCTGGCCTACAGTCTGGCTTCCAGAGAACAGTCATTTACCAGTCAGCTTCAGGAGGACACATAATTTTCCTGTTTACAGGCAATTAGTCACTTCAAGGTTTCATCCCAAAAGGACAACTTTTAAGAGTATGAAATCTTCTCAAAGTTCATTAACAATGAGGAGCCTACTGAGACGGTCTTTGGATGGCAGTGAAAGAAGAAAACCTACCAACAGCTCGTATCTTTGATTTCACCCCTTATTGCCCCTCCATGCTGCTACTAGAACACAGCTACCTTCACTTGAAAGTTAGTTTTCTAGGGGGTAGTTTCTGCAGAGCCTGACAACCTGGAAACCTCCTCCAATCACCACCTCTTTTTTCTTTCCTTTAAAAAGACGTCCTTGGTTCATACATGTTGGAAGGCTGATTGAAATCTCAGTATTTTGCTCCCCTGGCGCCAAACCTAAGCAGGTCTCTGAACGAAGTTATCACCATGGGATAACACCAAGTTATATGAAGTTTTATAGGTGGAGTTTGCTCTCTCTCTTTTGACATTCTGTCAACAGCTGTAGGATTTACCACTCAACTTTATCAATATCTTTTAGACATGAATAACGACTTCCTTTCGTGGATTACTTTTTCTTTCTGCAGTTGTGTACTAGAAGCTGTACAATATCTCCTGTACAAGATCTCACACCAAATGTAATCATTTGACATATTCTTACCTAGATACCGAGGATTTGGTTCAACTGCAACTTGGCAATTTACCACAAGAAGGTTAAAGCTATAAACTTATAAACCACAAAAAAGCTTCATGACCAGACTGGTACCAAAGCACTCTCTTCCACATAGATTCATATGGGCTGAATTTATCAGGCCCTCCACCAGTGAGAATACTGCCAGCAATTTGCCTTTTCAACCAGCTGCCTATTTTCATTAAAATTAGAGGAATGCAAAGTTCTGGTGGGAAAAGCAACTGAATGAAGAAATACGCAAAACCAGGAGAGGGGACAGAAGGAGAGAGCATGACCATGAAAGCCTCCTTTTCCTCAGGAATCACAGTTATCCAAAATCTTATCATTGGAAGTCGAACGGTTAGTGAATGAATCTAATTCATCTTACAAAGATTTACAGTAATTTCATGACATCCCTGATGGATTGTTTCAAGAGTCATTATGAGTTTGAGATGCATCCCCTGTTCATATTTTAGCAGTCACCTCTTTACATCTAGGAGTGGGTCCCTCGGGGCATTGATAGAATTTCTGAGTATTTTACCACATAAAATTTATTCCAGAGTTCACAAAATAAAACCACTAAGGAGTAATTACTCTTGTCTGAGCAGAAGAAAAGATCCTGTTATGAATATCAAAAGCATTCCCAGCAAGTCGTAAATTAATACTGTCCACCATTTCTGTGGCAATTTGGTAGCATTTTTTAAACAACAAAAAATCAACTGGGAGACTTTTCGTAGGTCTTCCTAGATAGTTCAAAGTAGTCACACTTTTCTAAACAACTTGCTTTTTTTACTAGAAAAGAAAAGAAAACAACAAATGACAAAACCACTCTGTTCTGATTTTCATATCTATTTACCAATTTACATATACTGAAAAACACGTTTGCCTGGCAGAAATGGCAGAGCTACCTGCAGTGCTGAATAAATCTCCTTCCTTGGGAGCAGAAGCTTTCTGACCTGAAGCTATGCTTGTGCTCTAAGCTTTTGGCAGTGCTGCCTATTCACGAGTGTGTCTACACTCGCGGAATAGCAGTTGCAGCAGTAGGATGAAATGCAACAACTTTTGCTGTAATTGAGACTTTCTAGATAAAATTATACTTAAGCTATCTACTCATCTGTCAGATCCACAAATATCTTATGAGACATGACATTGATATTTAAAATATATAGACAATACTTATATCTAAGATAGATAAATAGCTCTGGATCTAACAGGTAGACAGACACGATACAAATTTCATTCAGCAAGTACATTACATTTACGATTTATATTCTTTGCCCTGAGAACCAAATGTTTGAATATTTTCAATCTAGCATTTGAGCTATCTGTTCAAGTTACTGTCATTTTCCTGAATCTTTAACTTCACCAGCAAATATAACCTCGGCACAAGTATATAAGTATTCTTTTTTCTTAACAATTAATGGTTGTCTGTAAGCCATAGCATGTAACATTGTTTCTCACTATATTTAAAGCCCATGAATTCCCATATTTATTTTATTTTCTGCAAATTGTGACACGGGGTTCGATATATAAAGAACGGTTAGTTGTAAATTATTCACATCTCGCATTTAAGACAACACATCCTTTTTAAATATATACATGAAAAAATAACTCTCAGCCAGTAATTGTGTTGATTTATACCAAAAACTATCAGTTAAAATCTCTGAATGGAACTTACTATTAGAAAATTCGAGTCCAGACACGAAATAGTTCCACTAGAATCACAGATGCCGTAAACATTACATTGAAGATAGATAGCTAAAGCGGCCAAATGGCTCATTACAACTCTCCCCTGCAGCTAAAGTAATATAAATTATGTTTTGTTGCTAGAAAAAAACTGTTGTTTTTTTCAGCTGAAGCGACAACGAACGTGATTCTATGTGTTATCCTGAGAGAAGTGTGCAGTGGGGCTAAAGCACTTTCATTTTACAGTGAAGTAAACTCATCAGGGCCAGCCCTCTCCTCCTTCCCGGCGTTCACTCCAGCGACTGCAACTCACGATAAAAGAAAAGGGCCACATTTTCACCGCCTCTTGGCTGAAGCTCGCTTATGTATTAGTTATTGTGAGGTAAAAGGGGAAAATGGTACATTTGCAAGGTCCAAGGTGACCCCGCCGCATCGCGCCAGCAGCAGTTTGTCTCTGCATCTCAGCAGATGCAAAGAGGAGGGAGTTTGCTCACGAGAAGTGGAGCAGGGAGGTCCCCACAGCAAGGTGCAGGGGCCCCAGCGAAGCGCTGAGCTGCGATTCTCTTACCTTGGCTGGTGGGCTCCCCATGACGGGCAAGATGGCGACAGCAAGAGAAACCTCACTTTGGCTAACAGATCTGTCAGCGGGCAAACACGCTCACGGCTTGTTGTTGCTGCTGGAATAACATGAAGGACACATATAATTTATACAGGCGCTGAGCTCCACCCTCTGCCTCCTCTGTGTGGAGAAGAGTCTGCCTACGTCTGAGAGGGAAAGATCTGCAATGTCAGAGGTGAGAAGAAAGCTGCAAGTTACCACATCTTTGCCTGTCACTTTATTACTTCTCACAATTTGTTACTGAACATGGATTCTGCCATGTTCAGAAAGTCTTCCCTCACTCCCCATCTCTTCCCCCTATCTAGTCAGTAGATGAATTTTCTGAAGCATTTAAGTTCTTCCACAAAATATTCCAGAAAAAAAAAAAAAGCAGGGGATAGACAAATCTCATCTATTACAATTCCTGGTGAGAAACCAACCCACTTCTGAATGTTCTTTTCTACTCTTCCTACAACAGGGACTTGTTTTAATATATTACTGGGAATCTTCCGGCTAACCAGTAAATCAAGTCTCCTTACTCTGAAGTACCTACTGGATGGTTGCCTGGTTGATGCAGAGATGCTGGTGAAATTGAGATAAATATTGGTAGGGAAAGCAAAATCCACATACATCCTGGGCTTTTCCCTTCTACACACTTCTTAAAGGAACATGACAACTTTATATCTCCCAGCTTCCCATCCTATTCCCCCACCAGCTTGCCTATGACAGTGGTGGCTCCTATGGCATCCTCTGGAGATGGCACAGGTATGGCTTTTTCCACCTTTCCCATGCCTACTGTGGACTGAGGACAGACAACTTTACAGAACATTGCTCCAGGCAATCTGTTCTGGCTGTACCTTAATCCAGACTTGCAATTTCACGTTGGATGTCGTGCAGACCCAGAACTGGAAAAGGTCTGGATGCCACCATAAATTTGCAGTAAAATATGTCCTCACCGGAGGGCAGTAATATCAGACCAATCAAACAGTAGACACCTTACACTGATGGAAAAGGAGAGTGTCCAGAGTCAATTTTCATCAAATAGTAGTTTTGAGTTTGGCTTTTAGCAAGAGAAGAAAAGAAAAAAGAAATGTAACCACAGTAATTGTTTAGGAAAATAGGTTTACTTGAAACCTTTGGCTTTAGACTTTTCCTGAAACTCAGATGCACAGTGCTTTAAACCACTTTTTAAAGCATTTTCCACAAAATAAAACCCTTCACCAATTGAAAACCAGTTCTAACCAGATGCTCCTGGGCTTATAAAAGTGACAACCAGCTGCTCAAACTGACATTTCCCATTGCTAGCTGGCAATGCAGCCACCACGCTGGCAGTGAGGACTGGGTGGACGCAGGTGTACCCACTCAGCAGGGTGAGGACGTGAGGGCTTAGTTAGGTTGCTGTTCTTTGAAAGACCAAAAAGAAAGATACCTTAAGTAAAGGTCTGCTGTGTATATGCAGCAAATCAAAGGGCAGCTACAAAACTCCCAGAAAAATAAGCCAAACTGATCAGAAAGCAATCTGGGGTTCGGGGCAATTAACCTACAAATCCTCCTGCAGTAACTTGGTTTTGACAGATTCACTTGGGCATTTTCAAAGGAGCAGTGAAGACTGTGCTGCATGCATTCTTCTCCATGCTTCCTTCAACACAGAAGTCTGTAGCATCCCAATTCCGGAGATAAGAAAAAAAAGCAGAGAAAAGGGGGAAAAAAGCTCTTATTCAGAGTGGAGTTTCGGTTTTCCTCCTTTATATTGCTGTTGCAGCTTTGATCATAGGTTCTGGTGCTGTAGTGAACGGAGAGACCGAAATAGCAGGCTGAAAAATTTACCTCCTAAAGAGAAGGCAAATGGAAAAACAGCCAGAGAAAAAATGAACTCCACTCAAAGAGGGGTATGTCTGCCTGGAAACAGAGCAACACATTAAAAACAGAACAGCTGCAGAAGGGAGACCCAGGTCTTAATGGAACAGGAAAGAAGAAATTCCACAAAATATTCCAGTTCAAATCAAGAAGAATGTCTTCAAATCAAGGTGCAAATGTTATTCTGGAGACCTATGGAACTAATTTTTCCAACAGCTCCTCCAAGAAGTTAATGTTTCCAGTAAAACAGCATGGCCAAAATACATAAAACATTTTGTGTTGGTTGTCAACAAGTACACTGACATGTATCACGTTCATTTCCTCCTGGACATGGGGGAGATGGGCTACGTGATGTCAGGCTGTGCTACAGACACAAAAAATGTACAGTATGGGGAAATTAAGACAAAGAAAGTCAATTGCACAATGAAAGAAAGACAAAACTTAAAGGCTAAAACTAAAGCAAAGAGGGCACAACACAATGCATTAGCAAACTAGTCAAATAATAGGCAATATCTTCAAAGGGGTAGAGAAAGTCCTCCCCTTGTTATATGGAGGACATAGTCATGCCAGGCTCACATTAGTGGAGTTCTTAAATTCAGAAAACGTTAACACAGTATCTATGGTTTCACTTTGTAAAAGGCTGTTCAGGAAACAAAGAGAAAATTGTTTCTAGAAAGATTTTAGGGGTTAATTAAGCTGGTCTCATTCCACATTGATGACTGAATCTTATTTCTTTTCTGAATTAATATTAAGAAAGTACTTGGAAAGAAGCTAAAAGGGGGAAGAAAAAAGAGATAAAAAGGCTATCGAATTACACTGAGGTTGAATTGCTTCATACCCTACCTGTTGGCACTCAGATAACGCACACAAGAGAGTATGGAAAACAGAATCAGAACGGAAGGAATGCAAGCCCGTGCTGTTCCCAGTATGCAAGAAATAAAAGTTAATTAATACACTGTTCAGCTTCCTTCAACTTACCCCATGGGCTGCTCACTAACGGCCCCTTGCAAGAAGCTGCTCAAGAGTCACAGCTGAGCTGCCAGAAATCAAGCAATAGAGTGGTAGCAACTCTACATCGCCGTGATTTGGACCATCCTACTGCTGGCATAAACTTAAAAGCTAACTGGGACAAATCTGGTAGCAACTCTACATCGCCGTGATTTGGACCATCCTACTGCTGGCATAAACTTAAAAGCTAACAGTACAAAAGGTACTGAAGAGTCAGTTAGTGGAGTCCATTATATACCCCAGCAATGGCAACAGCACAGCAAAATTTCATACAAAAATGTCTCAGCTCTGGTGTACAAAAAAATGTGCTCAGTGAAGCACTGTCTCCACAGTCCTTCCATGCTTGATCCTACCAGCTTCACAAGCAAGAATGATAACTACTGAAACACCCTCCTATAAACATGAATTTCTTATGATTTTTTTTGAGAACATTGGTTTATTGATCCTGTGAAAAGTGTTAAGTAGAGATAAGTGATGGATCTTCCTCGGGCTAGCTGCAGCCACACCTGTTAAGTAGAGATAAGTGATGGATCTTCCTAGGAGTAGCTGCAGTAAGGAGTAGCTGCACTATTAGTAAGATGGAGGTGGAAGACCATAAGGCTTTGTGGAGACTTCTTGTGCCAGACAGTGACAAGGAAAAATAACAGCTGTTTTCTCCTTGTCTCGTAAATCAGCTCATACCTTGTTCACCTCAGTGGCTACATTAGAAAAATTATTAGAAAAAAGCTGAGAAAATAATGGTCTATAGCCAAATTCAAACAAAAAAAGTTCTCAAAATGTTCTCAGAAATTGAGGAAAGAAGTCGCATTTTTCCCTAGCTCATCAAATTAATTTTTTTCAGACCTGGGTGATTTGACCACTGTAAAAAAATAATAATTAAAAAAACACTTTATTAAAATATATCTCCATTCTTCAATTCAACAATGCCATGGGAAACTAGAAGCTATAAAGCAAAGCTTAAGAAACATCAGATTTTGGGACCTTTCAAAATGGAAACATTTAATTTTGAAATAAAAGCTTTCTAATTTTTCACTGTTTCCCCTCTGCCCCATTCTTTGGGGGCACACAGCTAATTTGAAATTTTTTGTAGATCTTTGAATGCTTTCCAGACGATCATTTTCAGCTCACCTGATGTTAATTAGAACAAAATACCAAGTTGTCTATCTGAGTAGCAGTCAGGTGATAGCAGTGTTTGTAAACAAACTGTCCTTCTGGCTATCAAGATCTAAAGCTGTTTCAGAAAAGTAAAAGGTGCCGTATCCTCTTACCTATCTCCTGAACCACTGCAATATTGAATAAAGATACCATACAGTAAAGCCGGTATCACTGGCTCTTTTTCCTGGCCAGAGTAGGAAAGCTACTAATTTCCTTGGATACTTGGCAGGTGTGGTTGTAAATATGGCAAGATAGTGATCTTTGCAGCTTCAAGATGGGAGGAAGCTGCTTATTACTTGCCTGGGGTATCTGAGGACTGGACTGCTATCTTTCCAAGACACGTCAATGTAAAGCCACACGTTGAAACCCACTGCGTTTATGCTTAGAAATTGTTCTTTTATTTTAAACCAAGTGATTGCAGAGCATCTAATTGAAATAATTGAGTAAGGTATTTCAATGTCATTCCACTCAAGCCAGTTTCTGAGACCTTTATCTTCAGATCTTATTCAAATAGTCTGACACTGATGTCAGTATGAAATTGCTTGAGTAAAGACCTCAGAAGAGTTAGGTAAGTATTACACTTCACCACCTGGCTGACAGGAAGACTTGACTTATGATTATGGTATTTAGCTTCAAATTATTAAGAGAAGGGTTTCTTTCCTAGCTGCCACCAACCTCTTGTCTTTTTAATAGTCACTTTTTTAGAATCAAGAGAGTAAATTTTGCTTTCTGCTGTTGCTTTTCACTCTCTATGACTTTAAGTTCTTTCGGACAAGGGATACTAAGGAAATGTTTGCTACTAAATGTTATTATACCAGGCAAGAGTAATTAAAAAACAAAGGTTACTGTGATTGTATGACACACATAGCAGTATAGTTTCTAACTGTGTTGCTGTGTCAAATCCTCTTTCATCCCTCTATGTGATTTCATTCAAGGTTCTACCTTTACCTGAGCACAGCCCTTAGATGTTGGCCCAGAAAGGGATAAAAGATATACAAGGATTTAT